GGCATGGTATAGATTTTTGAGGATGTTAAATCAGCCTGCAGCATATCCAGTACACCCAGACTTTTATGAAGTCGAAAACCCTAATGGAACATATGAAAATGTTTCGACCAAGATGCTATTATTGTTCATGCTTCATTTTCTGGCGCCCAAAACTCTTTCTTATGCTTGGCAAATGACTTTTACGAAAAACCTACAAAGTTATACGAACCACCAAGTGGAAGTATTTCAGACTTTCAAGTATGGTTTACTACAGATGGAAGAAAAAGAATAATTCCATTATACCATGCGTTTTACTTAGAACTTAGTTTCATATACAACTACTATCGAACGATAAAAATATAATTTTTTAATACGGTTGAGGTGTTGGATTTGGTTGCCAACTAGACTGTGGTGCAGGTTCAGGCTGTTGTATAACAGGAGCTTGTTCTTCTGGTTCAGGGTCTTTAGGTATAATACCAACGAACTGACCTACTCTTTTACCAATATTTTTGACTCCGTTCCAAATTCCTCTTCCTACGGTTTTTATTCCATTCCATATACCTCTTCCAACATTTCGAAAGAAGTTTCCTATCTTACTGAAGAAACCCATTTTACTATATGTAAAAATCTAATGTCCGCCTAGTCTCTTACGTTTCCTGTTGAGTTCCATAGCGTTCTTTAACTGGAGCTCATACATTCTGTTTCTCCTCTGGTAGAAAACATATTCTGGGTCAACTCCTGTGTTCGCGTCATCTGCATAAAGTTGTTTATATCCCACTTCAGGGTTTGTATAAAACTCTTTCCATCTCATATTTGCATACCATGGTGGCAAACCTAACGCAGCGTCATTTGACATGGCAGTTTGCATTTGTACATCTGTTGGCACTTGACCATAGTTTGCCATTGCAGTTTGTATTCTAACTTCATTTGGAATATTCTCTGGGTTTGGTTGTCCAGGTTGCTGTGCATTCGCTAAGTTCTGTGCGTCCATTTAATATTAGATAAAAATATCTCTTACGAGTACATATACTGAACATTTGCAGGCATTGGTTCATCTTCATATTCTCTGTACTTTTCTGCCACGTCAAAGAAATAAATGACACAATGGAAAAAACCTAAAACAAGTAGTCCTATTTCAAACCACATTTACTTACTAATAAAATTTCTTTGTTATGACACTTTCTCCAGTTTATAGGACCTCTCTCATATTCTATCTTGTCATATATAAACTCATAGTCATGTATGTCCTCTAACCATCTCATAACGGTTTCCAAACCACTTTTATCGGATGTAAAGTAAAAGCATGGATGGTTATGTAAAACGTCTAAAGTTTCTAAAGAGTCTCTCAAAGTCCAGTCTACTTGGTATTGAAAATCCCATGTGTTATAGAACGGCGGTCCACTATAAAGAAAACATTTTCCTTGTCTTTATATTTTTCATACAAATCTGTCCAATGACATCTCACAAACTCTATACCCTCAATATATTTTTCTATGTCCTCTTTGAAAACATTTGTATAGTTAAGATATAAAACTTTTGACATAAGTGTTTCAATGTCATGAACTCTTATAGAACCACTATATAATAGTCTAGCAGATATACTATCCCAGTCTATATATTCTGCTTTTTTCAAAACCTCTCTCACAATATTTTTGTTATCTAATGGTATACGTTCCATCTTACCTATAGGTATCTTTTCTTTTAACTCACTCAATATTTTGTTTGTGTCTGGTATATGTTTGAGACGGTCCATATAGTTGTCGAAGTCATTGCATATAATCTTTGAGTCTGGGAATATTATATGGCACAAATGGGATATATAGAAACTTCCACCGAACAAATCTACAAATGTTAGACCATTCGGTAGTTTCTTAAGTTCTCTCAATATAATATCTTTACATTTACTCTTATTTCCAAAGAACGGTAACGGTGGTTTTGTAAAATTCATTTATATATATATAAAAATGTTTTTTTCCTGAAAAGTGACAGAAAAGTGACAAAACATGTACGAAGAAATCATGAAAATTCAAGAGGTGAGAAAACAGGTGAGAAAACAGGTGAGATCTCACCTCTTCACCTAAAATATATTTTTGTCTGATTTTACGAAGAAGTTTTGACAAAACATTTACGAAGAAGTCTTGACAAAACATGTACGATGAAATCATGAAAATTCATGAGGGTAGAAAAGAGGTTAGAAAACAGGTTAGATCTAACCTTCTACCCTAAACTTTATTTTTGTCTGATTTTACGAAGAAGTCTTGACAAAACATTTACGAAGAAGTCTTGACAAAACATTTACGAAGAAGTCTTGAAAATTCAAGAGGTGAGAAAAGAGGTGAGAAAACAGGTGAGATCTCACCTCTTCACCTAAACTTTATTTTTGGGTCCTTTACACTCATTACGATGAAGAAGTCTTGACAAAACATGTACGATGAAATCATGACAAAACATTTACGATGAAATCATGACAAATTCAAGAGGTTAGAAAAGAGGTTAGAAAAGAGGTTAGATCTAACCTTCTACCCTAAATTATATTTTTGGTCATTTACACTCATTACGAAGAAGTCTTGACAAAACATGAAAACATATATAATTTGTGAAAAGCGACACATTATATAATGTTTTCGACCCAGAAGACTAACAATTTTCCGAATAAAAACTTCATTTATTACTAAACATCTTCAGGGCTAGAAGGCACGAAGTGCCTGGAAGCCCCACTACCTTTTTTTTTTTTTTTTTTTTTTTTTTCATTTCATTATTTTCAATTTCTTCTTCTCGTTTATGAGGTCTTTGATTATGACTCCATTGATTCCATGAAATTAAATATTCTTTATCATTATATTTATACCTCATTAGCTTATTTTGGCTTTCATATTCATTTAATAATTCACAATCTTCATTTTTAAATTGAAGTTTAACCCATTCAGGATTTAAACAATGTTTAATTAATCGCGGAATATCTGACATCATCTATATATAGCTTCTTTTATAAAAGAAAAAAATAAATTATTTTAAAATTAATGTTAATTTTTAAAATGTGTTTAGTATATAATATTTATTACTAATTTATTTAATAATGTCGCGCTTTCTTACGAATTCATGACTTAAAAAACGTAAGAAAAAATTTTTATATCATCTATATATAGAAGATGTGAAAATATACCTTCATCTATATATAGACGTAACAAAAAAAGTCACTAAACCCTTCATATCCTACTACTAATAACAATTATTATTCATGAATTTTGAAATATATGGAAACTAACATATAATATACAAATGTGCTTACAGCATATCATAAAACAAAATATTTTTTATAGTTTGGTTATATTTATCAAAATTCTAAATAAGCTATATCTGAAACAGAAAATAACTATCTTTCATGCATAAATTCCTTATCAAAATAGTAGACCCATTGTTTCATTTTTTGGAAATTTCATCTTTCTCTTTTTTTCATACAATTGAAAAATTATTTCATAAATTATCGTGTTATTAAAAGTCGGGACTAAAATCAAAATTGATTTCTTCCATTTATTCCTTTCAATTTTCTTCCATCTCACTTTTTATTTTCTGAGAGACTTTTGCAACTGTATAGATGCTTCATAAATAAGAGTTCAAAAAATTTCTATTTAAATTAATAAGACCTTTTTTAAAAAATACAATTAGAGAAATATTCAAATTTTAACAATAGTAGAGAATATGTTTAAATCATTGATGCCATTTGCAACAAAACAATTAGGAACTACCATCAGAGAGCAGAATCCATTTGGATTTTAAGAAATTTGATTAATATTTATTAAAAAAATGATTAATTATTTCATCAAAAAAATGATGTAATCAATACAAGTTGATAATACAGTGTACAGTTTGATAACTGAATTCAATTTTTTTGTCAAATTATTTTATTTGATCATCGTTTCATTGATGAAATATTCACCCTAAATGCGAAGAAGAAAATCACTTCTTTAATCCGGAAATAATCAATTATTCATTTTCATATTTTCAATGACTGACAAAAATTCCTAATATAATAAATGTATTCTAGCATAACTAGGTATAGAAAAATTATATTTATTTGAAGAACAATCATAATTTGAATGTCAAAAATAATTTTGCAAATTACCTCAGACTTTTCAGAGGATTGAGTGGCAACTCAATCCTCTGAAATAGTCTGTGGTAATTTTTAGTCTCTACACTATTTCAATATAAGCTCCATTTTTAAACAGTTTTTAAAAATCGAGCATTGAAAAGTGTGATGAGACTTTTGATTTTTTTTGACAAGGATAACATCTTGCTGACGTAAATTAATATCATTTTTGGACAAGACATTTATTTTTAATATAAGATTATATGGAAAATTTCAATCCAAAAGTTTTTTTTTGACATGATTTTTAATTTTTAATTTGGAACCGGTCACCAACTTATATGTTTCTCATATGCGCTTATACGAATATCGAAGATAAATTCAAATCTGACAGATTTCGGCTTTATTAAGAATTTTGATATTGTAAATTATTAACTATATATACGCACTTATTCTATCTAATTTTTACTAAATTTAATTTTATATTTAAAAATAAGTTATTGGCATATCGTAATAAATTATTCAGTTCTTTATTTTCACATATATTTTATTGCGGAATATTTTTATTTTACTTTATTATTTTCAGACACTATAGAAAAATTCTATATCATGATTTTTGAAAGCTAACTCAGTTTATAAAATGCAAAGTTTGCATATTCTTTTAAATATATAATATTTTCCCTATTCGATCAATATAAATTAAAGCACGTTAATTCAAGAATTGTTTACTTATTCTAATTTCATATCGTTCTTTGATCATGCTTCAATGTAATGATCATAAATTTACTTCACTTGCTTGCATGCACATCACACCCATAATCTTCCAAAATGCTGACATTATCACTTTTTAATTTCTAGCAGTTATTATGAATTTTTCATGGTAATTCTGAAACCATTCAATTTTCTCAATTGAGTCATCAATTGATTAATTTAACAAATGTCCTACCACTCTAAACTTGAGTTACAAAGATTTCTCAATCAGACGAGTATTAACTATAGTAGGGGCGATTCTGATAGTTTAAAACGTTGCTTATCTCATTTTATTAATCTCAGAAGGGATTTTGAAACATTCCGCAGAGAGAATCTTCATAAAACACCTGATGTAAATATATACCATTTTGTACAGTTTTTGGCTTTACACGGCCTTACAACACGCTTACCTCGTGAGGCCGATAGATTTAAATTTGTTCTCAATCTGGCTATTCAACAACAATGGTGTGATAATTTAGTAAACATATTCCAATACGTAAAATTCACACCAATGGCCAATGTTCAGAGATGCCTTCTTCATCCAACATTTTCACTTTTTGAGGGATTCTGTTTAGTTCACCAAATGGCTCTTGAAAATTGTCTATATCAAAATATAGTCAATATTATTCCCCAATTTGAACCATTTATCCTTTCTTACATTACATTCTACCATTATCAAGATACAACAATAGTAATTACATATACAAAAGAACGTAAAAAGAATCGAATGATACATAAATACATATGCATAAACGATGACATCTGGATATACGGTAATACAAAGATTCCACTCATCAAAGCGAAGTTTTGTTCAGATTTCCTCCAAAAGGAAACCGCTCAAACAGAAATAACCGATCCTTCATATTTAGCAATTGATTCAAAGATTGATAAAGTTATTTCAGAAATTCAAGAAACTGCACCATCCGATTCTGAGTTCGAAATCTTTTCGAACGGAACGATTGTTTGGTAGAGACATATTTATTGTCATATTATTTTTCTTTCTATCTTTTATATATTAATTTGCTTTCTTATTTATTTAAAAGCATCATCCTATACTAATAAAAAGCAACATGAATTCATTATTGGTTTTCTTTTTATTTCGAGATTTTTTTTGACAATTGTGTCTCATCACATTATATTGCTTAAAAATAGAATAATACATCTTCTGATATTCAATTCCTTCTATGATTTTACCCAAACAAAAAGAATTCAAAAATAAAATTATGGATGCAATAGAGGTCAAGCTAAGCGAAATTTTATTAATTTACAAAAAGTAATCATCGATTGTAACTTTCATTTTCTATGAAACAAAATCTAAATTAGAATATACTTTTTATTATTAAAACACAAACGCATTTCATAAGTCCATTCTATAGTAATTCGGCTGAGTTGCATGAAATGTACTAGAAAAATGCAACTTTGCCTTGTATGGTGCTGATATACGCCCGGTACCGCAGACTTGGTTCAAGGAGTGGAAATGAAGTTTCGAGTTTAATCGAAGATTGCCTGCCATCTTTGACTTATTTTTATAATTAGCCAGATAATTTACAATATCGTTCATTGTCCAACGTTGCGCTGGATCAAAAACTATTGTTTTTTCTATAATTGTTTTTGCAAAGTCATAAATTTCAGGTAGGATCTTGAATTCTGCCTTTTTAATACGCTCTTCCATTTCTTGTTTTGTGCTTCCAGGAAACGGGAGCTTCCCAGTGTTTAGATTATACAATGTCACACCAAAACTCCACACATCACTTGCAAAAGGATCATAAGGAAGATCTCCTAGTTTTTCTGGTGGAATATATGCTAGTGAACCTCGAATAGCATTTGTTTTCAGATCAAATGAAGCAAAACCAAAGTCTGCAAGCTTAATCCTGTTATATTCATCAAGAAGTAAATTGGCTGGTTTAATATCGTGATGAGCCATGCCCATTGAGTGACAATGCTGAAGAGCCTGGGCAAATTGTTTAACGTATTCGAATAAAACTGCCTTTTGAGGGATACCATATAAATTAATATACTTATCTAGTGATTGGTTCTTGCAATATTCAAGAATGATGAACATATAGTTATTTTCGGTAAAATGGTTATAAATGTTAACAATGTTTGGATGGGAAACCTTAATAAGAGCATCAATTTCATTTTGGTAGAATTGTATATTGTTAGAAGAATCTTCTTTTGAGGAGTTAATATGACAAACCTTGCAAATGAATTCCTGTTGATAATTTTGGTCATAAACAAGATAGCATGTTGCAAAGCATCCCTTGCCTATCTGTCTCTTAAAAATATATCCATGCTTATCTAATAGGAAAACCATCTCGTCAAACATTGCAAGAAATAAAAATATGAAAAAGTACGCATTGAAAATCTCTTTGAATATTTTCTATAAACGTTTCCCAAAAATTTATGTAATGATATGCTTTGCCTATAAATAGAAAAAATGTGAATTAATTTGGGTTTCAGAAAACAAATTGTTCATGTGGGATAAATGAAAGCAATTTTTGTTACTATTCAGAAAAAATATTTACAGTTAAAGAATTATTTTATACATTACTGCATAACTATCAATGATATAGCAATTATTCAAAAATAATCATATTCAATAGATTTGAAGTTTTGAATGAAATTGTGAAGCGTTCTGAATTTTATTTGGCAGGACATGAAATGATGATACTGGAATAATAAAGCAAATTTAAGCGAATTTTTATTAAATAAAATTTTGAATTTTATTCAAATATTTGAATTAGACTCAATTTTGATATCGGGGATTTTGCATCTTAGAATTACAAACGAAGGAAAAATATTAATATTAATTTTGAGTAAAAAATATTGGATAACATTTTTCTAATTCTATCGCCAAAAGAAATAACAAATGAAAAACACAAAAGCTACATCAAAACTGACTAACTAGGATATCTGCTTGATATGACAAGTATAATAAAAGATTTATTTAATACAATGAGCTCAATAGTTTTGGTTATTATGCAATAAATTTCGTCCATTTTTTCTCAAGAACTAATTTTCATCTAATTAATAGATTTATATTTAACCATATATTATGAAATTCAACTTTAGTTAGATAATTAGATTAAAAATGTTAATGCGATATCGTTCAGCGGTTAGGATATGTGGTTTTCATCCACAGGATCGGGGTTTGACTCCCTGTATCGGAAAATTTTTTTATATTTGTCTGATATCTTTTTTATTGCTTTTTGCTTCAATCATTATTGATTAATAATAACGATAAGTAAACTAATTGAATTGAGAAATTTAAAATCCAACTCTTAAAATAAAAAATCAGATATTCTCGAAGTACAACGATGACGATTTTTTATAAACCTTTCAAAATTGAAATGAGATTCAGATCAGAATTATTGAGAGCGAAATTCAAAACAGTTTTTAATGTTTTTCCTTTGCTCTGTTCTTTCATCTTGCGTTGATTATAATCTCTTCAACAATCTTAAGATATATCAAGTCATGATATCATCTTTCCAAGATGGAGACCCTTCAATTGGCTATGGAATAGGCTATGGTCCCTCACATCACTTAGGAGATCTTCGTGGAATAATTGATGCCCTAGATTATATCAAGGACTTAGGATTCAATACACTTTGGATGACTCCAGTTTTCGATTCTACAAACGGCCAAGGAGGCAAAATATTACAATCCACTGGATACTTCGCTACCAACTACTTCAAGATCGATCCAAACTTTGGTGATGAAAAAGTTTTCAAAGAGTTGATTGACACTGCCCACTCAAAAGGCCTTTATGTATTACTTGATGGCGTTTTTGGTCATCATGGCGGCGTAACAACACCATCTCCATCAGGCAATTTACCACAGGGTGGCAACAATCCAGTTAGTTATCCAGGAAGCCTTCCTTATTATTCCGAAGTTGCAAAGTATTGGATTGAGACTTATGGAATTGATGGCTGGCGTCTCGACCAATGCTACCAACTTAACCAGAACGGTCACAATTACCTTCACGAAATCCGTCAAGTCGTTGAAGCTGCATGCGATAAACGCAAAGCTGCTGGAGAGAAATGGGGTATTCTCGGCTACGTAGTTGGTGAAGACTGGAACTCTGCAGATTTAATCAACCGCGAAACATATGGCCAAGATGGTCTCAGATCTGCATTTGACTTCCCATCTCGTTACAATCTTGTTCAGGGAATTGCTTGCGAGGAATCTGGTGCTGGAGGCCGTGGAGCTTCAGCTCTCGCCGACGTTCTCAAATCGAACGATCAGAAAGGCTACACCAATACTCCTGTTTATCCAAACCTTTTTGTTTCTAACCATGATGTATGGCGCTTCGGTAACCTTATCAGAAGCAAGTATAACGAAGACCAGTCCTCAGACAGCTACTGGAAACGTTATAAGATCGCATTGACCACTCAATGTGCAACATCTGGACCAATTACCGTCTATTACGGGGATGAAATTGGTGATATCACCGATTGCTGGCATAGCCCATCACAAACAACTTGTGGTCCAAATACGTATTCAGATAACTGTGCCAGAACTGACGGAAAGATCACTAATTTCAATTCCCGTGAAAAGGATATGCACGATTTCGTCAAAAAGTTAAATAAGATCAGAGATGCAAATCCTTCTCTTTACAGAGGCACATTTTCTAACACTCTTGTCGGAAATGTACTTTTCAACTGCAAGTGGGACGAATCTACCCAGAATAAGGTTGTTTATGCAGCAAACTTAGATGAACACTCAAATACAGTTCAGTATACGGTCGGAGGAACAAAGATGACAGACTTAATAACTGGAGCTGTATTCGAAGGAAAAGGTGGTGTTTACACAATTACTTTTGATGGCCTTGATTGCGGTTTATTCCTTGTTGAATAAATCACTTTTTTTAATAAATCATTCCCATACATATCAGTAAACCTATTATAAATAGGCCTTTTTAGTCGTTTATCACTATTTTCAAGGAATATGGAACTAATTAAATGCTGAAGATTCGGAATCATCTTATAGTTGAGGCGATGTAATATTGAATTTGATGAATTTTTCCAGTAGTTATTACACAAACAAGATAGACTGTTGTTTTCCCTTATAAAGGAGGCGTTCTAAAATATATTTTCAAATTTAGCCTCAATCATCAAAATTATAATTTGAATCCATTAAAAATATCATAGTTATCTTAAATTACTAGAAAATATTGTGAAAATCTCATAATTTTTTCGAAAGATATGAAATATTGATTTTCTGAACATTTACTGCACCAGTGAGTCTAAATTGTAAAAGCACTTCAGACCATAAGAATCATTAAAGGTTTGTACGATCAAAATAGAAATTTATTATTAGAAATAAAAACAATGGTATAACTGATGGATATTAACAATAGACAACACGAGGATGGGGTATGTAGCACCTTTTATATTTCGTGTAATAATCAAAGGATTTATACCCACAATTGAAGGAACGATCACTATCGTCTGTAAATGGAGAGTAAGCATCTGCATTGATTTCCTTTTCTGAATCGTCATGAACATAAATTACTGAATTTTCATCCTGAAAGATTTCATTTTGTACGTAAGCAGGTAGTTCGCCATATTTTGTAAAGATCATATCATGCTTTATGATCAAACCATTCAAATTCTGGGATGCTTTTCTTGCTTCATCTTCATCAGCGAAAATTACAAATGCGGTTTTTCTAAATTCTTGATTATCATCAACAAGCATGCAAATTTTGGTTGGTGTTCCAAACTGAGTGACCATATCAGCGATATTATCCGCAGTACTTTGGACAGGAACATTGTAAAGACATAAGCCCGCCAACGACATCAGAATTTTATGTAAAAGAGGGGAAAAATTTTCTCTCAAAATATGAAATAGTAAATTCTTCTCAAAAAAATAATTATTTATTCATTAATCAATTATATTGTGTTCTCGATGTAGATACGGTTTCAGATAAAAACTATATAAAATTTGATAAAGCACTAAATAAAGCATACCGTACCTTGAATAACCGGCGAACCATTCAATTGGTCATAGACCAATTTGAGATACCCTTTTCAGAGGAATCTAAAATGTTGTTTATATGGTTATTTATATATTATTTAATCATTTTCTTAAATAAAAATCATAAGTTCTCAATTTTTCTTCATAACGATTCTTATAAATTTTAATGTTTTTACTATGAGTGCTAAATATTATTAATTACTAAATGATTTTAAAAAGAAAAAACATGTTTTTACTTTGTACGTTAACATACGTTAATATCACTTCGGCTATGGATAGAGGCCAACAGCGCCTTATTAATGAGAAAAACATTAGCCTCTTATCAATGAGATGGAAGTGTATTCGTGGATTACAATTGTGAATTCGGATACACTTCCATCTCAAAAAATGCAATCAAATTTGTATTGAATTGCATTTTTTGAATACATGCTATTGGCATTTGGGTTTTTAGTGCATTTATATTATATTGGTACTAAGGCTTTTGGAAAATTTACAAAATAAATATAGGGTGTCCAAAGGTGTGTTTAGCACAAACCTGAATACTGCGAATAGAAATAAACAAGTTAAATATATATAAAGTTTATTTAAATATAATCACCATTGGATTCAATCACGCGTTCGCAGCGATCGATCCAGGCTTGAAAGACACGCTTTAAATCATCATGAGAAAATTGCTCAAATTGCTCTCTTACAAAATTTTCAAGATCATCTGGACTCGCGAATTCGCGTCCTTCAGCTCTCTTTTTTAGCGTGCCGAATAAATAAAAGTCAGAGGGTGCAATATCAGGTGAATAAATTGGGTTTTGGAACAACTTTGACATTGTTTTCCACCAAGTAATTCATTACCTTATGACTTTTGTGAACTCTTGAATTATCAAAATGAATTGCAAACTTTTGTTTTTGTTGTTTGGATTTCTCAAACTCATCAGAATTGATAATTTGAGTAAGAACATTGTCAATTAGATACTGAGCATTCATCGTATTAGGTTTTTGAAGAATATCAATTGCGATGATGCCATTCACGCCCCAAAAAACCGACAACATCATCATTGGTGTGTCAATTTTTTTCTTCGGGAATGTTTGCGGATTTTCATCCTTCGGGATCCACATGATTTTGGCTTCTGTTGCATATTGAAACCAAGACTCGTCCCCTGTTACTAAAAAGCGAAACTTCTTGGATTGATACGCACGCAATAGAGAGAGGAGCTCTTTCGAAGATTGGACTCTAGATTTTTTTTGAACTGAATTAAGGTTGTGCGGAACCCAACGTGTATACGCTAGTTTGTAGTTCAAATAATTGTGCAGATAATAACTGACTGTTGTACGTGGTATCTTTGTCATCTCCTCTATCCTTCTGAGTGATGCTCTTGGGTCTTCATCTAGCGCTTGAAGAATTGCTTTGATTTTTCTTTGATCCGGCGATTTTTTGTCAATTTTTATGATGGGCGCCTTTTTGTTCATGAAGTGATACATCCTAACATGATACGTTACAGTGGAATAGCTAGGAGCATCCATACCGAAGCATTTTACCAATGTCTCGTAGATTTTTTTACAGTCTTTGCATTTTTTTGCAAGAGCGAGGATGTTTTCTTTATGATTCATTAAAAAAATGAAAAAAATCCCGCCAAAATTTCCCGCGAAACCGCCTCTTGTCTCAAAATTCATTTTATATCCCGGCATGGCGCCAAAATACAACTTACTCATCATATACATATATTCATATTTTTTATTATATATTTATAATCAGCATATATCTCCTTTAATAGTCTCATATAGAGCGCTGTGCTAAACGCACCTTTGGACACCCTATATAATATTTTGTAAATGTTATCGGTTCTTACGCTTTTGGAAGGAGGGATGGTATTTTTGGAGCATTTATATTACATTGGTACTAAGGCTTTTGGAAAATTTACAAAATAAATTTAATATTTTGTAAATGTTATCGGTTCTTACGCTTCCTCTCTTCATCAAGATGCTTCCTCACTCCATCATGCATCCATCATGCAGCTTCCTCTCTTCTTCAAAGTACTTCCTCTCTTGATCAAGATGCTTCCTCTCTTCTTCAAAGTACTTCCTCTCTTGATCAAGATGCTTCCTCTCTTCTTCAAAGTACTTCCTCTCTTGATCAAGATGCTTCCTCACTCCATCATGCAGCTTCCTCTCTTGATTAAGATGCTTCCTCTCTTGATCAAGGTGCTTCCTCTCTTCATCAAAGTGCTTCCTCTCTTCAACAAAGGAAACAATAAGAATTACCGAAAAAGTGACAAAACATCAAAAACAGGGAGGGGGTCTCAATTTTTATTACTTATATTATTTTACAATATTTATATAAATACTCTTTATAATATATTTTACTATAAAATTATACCTCAAATTCAAATATTTAAAATATTATTTACATAATTATCTCAAAATTATATTTTTATATATTATTTTTCATATGTATAAATCATATAATCTATATCTATGCAAATCTCATCTAAATTTTTTTGAAACAAACCGCTACCATTTTATAATGGTCCATCTTAAATTCATCATAAATTCTGGTACATGTTAGTACCAGAGTCTTCAAATCTCAAACACTCTGGTACCAACATGTACCAGACGCGAGTTTCCAATGCCCTCGTACGATTTTCTATTAAGATCTTCTTGAATGAGAAGGTCTTCATAGAAACTCGTACGAGGGCTCTTTTTAAATACTCTGGTACCTGCTGGTATCGGAGTCGACTTTACAGCCCTTTCCCCAATTTTGAAGCTGGGGAAAGTTTTCAAGCAATGAAAGGGAAGCTCTCGCTATGAGGTGAAAATCTAGAATTTTTACCTCATAGCGAGTAATCCTTTGTTAATTGCTTGAAAACTTTCTTCAAATTATCAAAATTTCGAGGAAAGTTTCCTTGCTTCAAAGTAGAGATGGAGCCCTTTGAGCCACTGCATATAGGTCAGTGACTCAAAATACTCCATCTCTACTAGAAATCGCCAAAATTTGGGTCGCAATCTTTGAAATGCGACGCAAGTTTTGGCAATTTCGCGAGGGACTTGCTCCATTTGGTGCATAGATTCACACTCTATGCACCAGATGGAACAATTCTTTCGCTGACAGCGGGAAACTTTGTCTGAATAGTTTAACATTCAGACAAAGTTTCCCGCTGTCAGAGAGGGAATGGAAGGGTAAGAGGTATATATTCATAATGTATACCTCTTACTCTTCCATTCCCTCAAGAAAGTTCAAAAACTTGGGTGCAATCAGAACTGATTGCACCCAAGTTTTTGAACTTTATATAAGGAATTGTTAGCTATGATGTACTGATCATGAATCAGTACATCATAGCCAACAATTCCTTCGCAAACAGTGGGAAACTTTGTCTGAATAGTTTAACATTCAGACAAAATTTCCCGCTGTCAGGGAGGGAATTAGAGGGTGGGAGATATATAGATAGACTATAAATCTCTCACCCTTTAATTCCCTCAAGAAAGTTCAAAAACTTGGGTGCAATCAGAACTGATTGCACCCAAGTTTTTGAACTTTATATAAGGAATTGTTAGCTATGATGTACTGATCATGAATCAGTACATCATAGCCAACAATTCCTTCGCAAACAGTGGGAAACTTTGTCTGAATAGTTTAACATTCAGACAAAATTTCCCGCTGTCAGGGAGGGAATTAGAGGGTGGGAGATATATAGATAGACTATAAATCTCTCACCCTTTAATTCCCTCAAGAAAGTTCAAAAACTTGGGTGCAATCAGAACTGATTGCACCCAAGTTTTTGAATTTTGTATAAGGAATTGTTGGCTATGATGTGGATAGCCGCTGCCAGACCAAATGAATTAACCGTTGTGAATAACGTTTCTGAATCTTTATTTAAAAAGATAAAATATCACGATTTTGGCTGCGTTAAAAATCAAAGAATTGATGTTTTTGTCAAAAATCTTTTAGAAGAAGTTGCACCCAATTACTTTTATCGTATTAAAAACGATTTACTTCAAACAGGTTTTATTCCTTCAATTAGAATTCGCGAGCCTCGATTGACAGATTATAAAACAAAATTGAAAAGAGAAGTTCAATCACGTTTATACCAAGTATTAAATTTTGTTCAGAATCAAGAAGCCAATTTGAATCCATTAAGATTTTTATTGGAAAATGCTGAAGAAAAACTTTCTCAAATAAATGAGAAGATACAAAATTCAATTACATATTTAAGATCGTTTGAAATTCCAAATGAATTGTTAGATACGTATATGTTAGAAATTAATGAATTTTGTTATAATTCTCCAGATTATATTTTAGAACATTTCGAAGAATTTTTAGAGGATTTCAAAGAAAAGAATAAGTTAATAGACTAAAAAATTTATTATTTTTTTTTGTGAATTTTAAATTGTCACTTTTAAGTGTTACTCCCTATTGAAAGTATCACTTTTTGGGTGTCACTTTTTCGGAAATTCTTATATACTCTTCCTCTCTTGATCAAGATGCTTCCTCACTTCATCAAAGTGCTTCCTCTCTTCAACAAAGTGCTTCCTCTCTTGATCAAGGTGCTTCCTCTCTTCTTCAAAGTACTTCCTCTCTTGATCAAGATGCTTCCTCTCTTCAACAAAGTGCTTCCTCTCTTGATCAAGGTGCTTCCTCTCTTCTTCAAAGTACTTCCTCTCTTGATCAAGATGCTTCCTCTCTTCTTCAAAGTACTTCCTCTCTTGATCAAGATGCTTCCTCTCTTCTTCAAAGTACTTCCTCTCTTGATCAAGATGCTTCCTCTCTTCTTCAAAGTACTTCCTCTCTTGATCAAGATGCTTCCTCTCTTCTTCAAAGTACTTCCTCTCTTCTT